GAAGCTGTGGCCCTGCGAATGCGATTCCAGTGCAGTGCTCTCACCAACTGAGATGCAGAGTCCAGTTGTCCAGCTCTAACAGTAACCACAAGTTCATGTATGTATCTTAATTAGGTGATGCCAATGTACGAGTAAATATCAGGATAATTGTGTATCTCATTGGATAAAAGTAATTGTTGAATGGTTTTTACAGATAGAAATTCTGAGTATAAATTTTATATGTTTATTAGATCTAACCCCTCCGGCAGGAATGGAACCTGTGGTTGAACTTGCGGTTACAGCTCGACAACTATAGACTCTTTAGCAATTTTTTAATATTTAGCCATCAACGGCAAACAAGAAAAACGTTTTGGTTCCAGACAATAGAATTTTAGTTGATGTTGGCAGGAATGAAAGATGGTGTCAATCAGAGCTTTTGTGGACAGAGAAGTACTCAAGTACTCAACCAATAATGAACTATCAGATGCATCAGTGCATGTCATTGCATGTTATTATGTTTTCGAGGTCAGTTTCTATATCCAGTCTGCTGTAATAGTATCATAGTATTTTTAGTTTTACAATTACAACGACTTTGTTGTGTGGATCATGACAATCAGAGTTGTGAATATAGAGCGTTTTTGACCAAAAGTGTTAAACAAATTCATTGTAATTAGTTTGGTTCATTGTAAATACAGTAGCGTGTTTTACATGTGCGAGTGCCTAATTGTAAGCTTGGTGCTCAGGCTCTAATAAATCATTTAAATTTGTGAATTGTATGATCTACTATATATTTAATATACTTACATGCCTTATGGTGTGTATTTGCAAAGTGTGTACCAAGGAAAATATGTCAGGTAATTTTACACACCTTTTGAGGTGTATAGTGTACCATTAATTAAGTAATACTAGATTTAGTAGTAGCGGTAGTGCAAGTCTAATCTGAACCTCTCTATTAATATATTAAATATGAAAGCAACATTTTCATACGTTTTCCACCATGCCTTTACGACTTGGATATTTTGGGCAATTGTGTCCTAAAGGTAACATTGGTGCGACAAATCTGAAAATGTCTAGAGGGATCCAGTGGAATGCCCACGCAGTAAAAGTTTTATTAATGGCCACAAAGAGCATGGTTGCAGCTAATATAAACAAGGGACGCGTGACTCGAAAGTGAAAGAAAGTCACATATTATTTTCTATTGATGTCACATGACAGGAATTGAAATATTTACATCCTACTTGACCACATGATGAAAAACGACAAATCAGAATCGAAGCAGGAAGGCATTCAGCCAACAACAGGTAGCCGCCCCCACGCAGCAATGCAAGTTTCATATTCCTTGATGCAAACAATGGCGTGTATAAAGAAGACTACAGTTTGTGTTTTATTTCTTGCTCTTTACGCCGTATTTTCCCAAGTAGAAGCGAATGATTGCTTTTCTGATCTTGGCTGTCGAGATTATTCTTATATCACCCGGTATTGCTGTAAGAGAAAATATCTAAGCAATGTATGTCGTTCGAACGACTGCCTTGGTGAGTCTTGTACGATCGATACCGACTGCGCTCCCGGAGAATGTTGCAATTCTGATGATAAATGTGCCACAGATTGTTATGTGAGTCTAGCTGGATGGATTGTTGCAGTAATTGTTATCAGTGTTATCGTTGTTATCGTCATTCCTATTGCAGTTGTCGTGTTTTGCTGTTGTTGTGCGGCAGCAGCCTCGACACGTCGTGCTCATGGTGGTGTTGTAGTAACGCAACCTACAACCACAGGAACTACAGTCATTGCAACCCAACAACAACAGCAACAATTCGCTGCACAACAAGGACAACCAATGTATTTCCAAAATCCTCAACCATATCCCAACCAACCCCCACCGTATCAACCTCAAGGCACAGTGTATCCACCAGGGGCAGGTGGTCATCCAATGGCAATAACAGCACAAACCGAAGTAAAACAATATTAAAGAACTGAAACTGATTCAGCAAGCGCAGACATGTTCCTAAACTTTAATAGATATAGAAGTAGACGTAGACTTTTACTCTTGTATATGAGTAATAGTAGTTGCATAGTATGATGTGTAATTGATTGGATATTTTGATAAATATTTTTAGACCCACTTTCATTATGTTTTTTTCTCGGAATACACTGTCAGATCTAGCGCTTTATACATAGTCTTATCCCAGTTTCACTATTATAAACCTAGGTATGGACCCAAATCAATTTCTCATTTTCTCGTTGTTTTGGTCATGTGTAGGTAAGGTTTTATTAAAATGGGCGATAATAGTAATGCTCACGCAAGATCTTTGTTTTATATTTTAGACAAGCCTAAGTCGCCACCGCCTGCAAATAAACGCCTGCTACGCAGACAGCCAAGTTTATCTCAAGGTTTACCTAGATATTCCTAGACACAGTGTTTGGCACTCTATATTCTAAAATCTAGAACGGATTATTGATTTGGAACACACAGAACACAGGTATTTCGTGAAACAAACAAACAAGCAAAGCAAACAGTTAAACTTCTTCGCAGCCGCTCTTTGTGTCGTTCTCCCAACTGGCGTCTGTTTACTGACAGCCTATTGAAGGGAAGATGGCTGTGAAACTTATTAGAATAACAATATAACTCATGTATGTTAGTCAATGTTTATTCATAAATCAGGTCCTTCACGTCACGTGCGTATTGTATTTTTGTCCAACTAACCAATAACAATGTTTTAGGAAAGTTACCTATCCGTGACTCGAACAATAGGGAAATTGGAAATCACTATTGATGGATTTGACAAAAATACAATACACACGTGACGGTGAAGGACCAGATTTATGAATAAGAGTTGACTAACATAGATAATGAGTTATATTGTTTTACAGCATCTTCCCTTCGATATCTATGGTTTACTTAATCACAGTTTGCACACAACATTGCATTCCCGAGCGTTAGCCAATCACAGCTTAGCTCTGAAGTGGCGCCAAATTATATATTTATATTTATTACACTGACTTGAAAGGTCAAGTGTCTTAAATCCCTAGTTTTCTGTTTTCTTCTGTTTTTTTCGTCGTCGAGAAATCGAGTTTGCGTTCGCGCATCGCAGGCTCAGGGTGCAACGATTAATCCAAAATGCCATCGATTCTTCGACTCCCACGATTCATGTATAATAGTAAGAAGCTTGTATTTATGTACGTATTAGCCGGCTCATGCCATGCTTGTGGTGCATTTTTCGTTTATTAGCCCATATATAGACTTATATGGACTTATACGCACGCGCACAATTCCGAACT